AAGACGAATGCTAAAATTTTTTTTGATTATATAGACTTAAAAAGAAAAGTTATAATGGACACTAATTTAAAATTTCAAGACATGCTCAACCATACCAAAAAAAAAATATTTTGAGAAATGTCACTTTTCAAGTACCACTTTAAAAAAATGTTAGATTTTCAAAATTTTTTTGCCAAAAATGCCACTTTTTCAAAACCTCTCACAGTCCTTATTTCCAACCGCAACATATTTCAGTTCAAAAGGCTCTAGATGTCCCATTGCAGCTCGAACCGATCCCCATGGAGAATTTGAATCACCACGCGCGAACTCCATACCATCAAGCGCTTCCTGAAACCGAGGAAAAAAACACATATTAGTTTTGCCTCCGCCTCACTAATAAACCATTCTCAGTCTCTAATTGTTAAAAGTTTTCATGAGAATGAGTACTTGAACAAATGGCATGACACTTGCTGTTTCAACTGCATCATTGTGACTGATTCCTGCAACAGTTATACACATAGGTAAATAATACATGTAATGAAAAACAAAGTCTTGAGATATTGAGCTTAAGAATTTACCATTGTTAAACACCCATATTGGAGTTGCACCAATATCTTCAGCTAACAGCAAAAATAATTGTTAGGCATTTGTATATGTGACCTTAGGGGAATAATTTCCAATGATTGACTCACTTGAAAGAATTCAAAGTGGCCAAGACCATCATCAGTCCAGTAATTCCAAGCTCCCACGGTTTCTTTCCAGCGGAATGCATGGCCTAACCATTCACCTTCCACGAAACAACCACCTAATATTCATAAAGGATTGATAAGTCTTTAATTAGCTTGCAAGATGAGATGAAGTGAAATGGTATTTTTGCTCATTAGAAATTACCCGGGAAACGGATGAAACTACGTCCGTCATGGAATAGCCATTGCGTTACATGTTGAAGAATTGATGAAAATCCCTTTTCACCTTGGGAAAACAAATTATTTCAAAAGACATAAATAAAATATTAGTTTTTTAAAGCATTAAAATATTTATTTCAGAAATGAAAAGTTATCCTATAAAAGT